CTCTTATCTGCTCATCATATGAACCAGCCAGTGTTAATATGAAGGATATTTAATATCCTTAATTATGCAGTAATATATATATATATATATATATAAAGAGAGAGGGGAGCTTCTTTCTGAATTTTGTTCTAGTTGGTACGTAATCTAGTTTTTGCAAAAGGGTAATTAACTCTGATTAATTTGCATGAAGTCCTTTCCTTTTCTTCCAAGAATTGAAAAGCATGATCTGAATATTTCAGATGAAAAAGATCATCTTAATTTCTACTATATAATTTCGATAAGTTTAGAAGCTCCCTATATATAGCTATGCATAGCATTAATCATTTTTTTTCAGATTGTTATAATTATTATATATGTTAATTACTCTTAACAGAATATATGTTGCCTTTAAGGAAAAGAATGCTTTTGGCTAAAAGAAGAAAGGGAATAGCAGTACAGTTGAGTTTCAGATATGCTTCCTTTCAGTCTCTTGTATATAAATTTCAGAAGCATGTGTAGGTAGCTACTAATATAACAATATATATTAATATTGATCGATCACGTTTGCCATCCAAGGCATATATATATATTAATATGAATATGGAATAATGAGCGCAACAGAGAGAGAACCAAATTAAGTAGTGTACTATAATATAGATATATTTTTTGGTTGATCCTTGAAATGCACTCGTGTGGGGTTTAGAGAGAGGAAGAGAGGAAAATTATTATGTGAAGTGGAAGCAAAATTGGGGTTGTGTGTGTGTCTCATACACAAATGAAATAATGAATGATGATTACCTTGTGAGTGAAGAAAAATGAATCGAAAAAGACTAGTTGGAGTCAAAGACAAGACGACCAACCATCCTTCTCTTTGTCGACTCACACTGTGTCCCCTTCCAATCCGTTTTCCACTCTACCCATAATCAATCCAACAAACACAAACAAATCTCTCTTCAATTTCCCATTTTATTCCATACATTTCTAAGCAATACCAATGCCCCACATCCATCATCACCATTCCCACCCTATCAAGCCTTCTATATATCTTCTCTCTCTATCTTTCTTCATTTAACTTTCCTATATATAGATATAGCTTTAGCTTCTTCCACTACTTAATTAGCTAGCCCAGCAAAAGAAGGAAGAAGGAAGAAAAAAAAAGGGGCAATTATGAGAAAGCCTGATCCTGCAATGGGGAAAGAGAAAGCGATCAATAATAACAAGATGAAGCTAAGGAAGGGTTTGTGGTCGCCGGAGGAGGATGAGAAGCTGATCAAATACATGATAACCAACGGACAAGGGTGTTGGAGTGACATT